TTCTAGTAGCATGGTATAGCCACAATAAAAAATCCTTCAAATGTTGAGCAATGATGATTACATTATTTCTGAAAAAATCAAGTGTTCATAAATTGTTCTTCAATTTTGATCTCCAACGTATTAGGAAAATGAGATGCATCACACAGCAGATAATCGCCAGGGTATGTTACACTAATAACATATGTTCAATAGCTCTGTCATTTAGCTTAATGATCCTTAACAGTACTTATTTGTCAGCATAATCTAGTAATTCATGCAACTGGTCCTATTTATTCATTCTTTCCCCACATCTGTCTCTTTCCTGAATGTGACATAGTCTGGAAGGTCTGTGAGCTTCTGGCACCGGCTTGTTTGCAGTTGCCCTTAATACTGACAGCCAAATGGAAATGAGACCTGATCTGTTCAATATTTTCTGCCAAATGTTTTAATCATTGGGTTGAATGTCCCCCTCTCTGTCTCTGTTTTCTTTTTTTTTTTTTTTCTAGTTCCTTATTTCAGATGGTTTTAGTCCTGATGAATATAACAGACAAATATTTTGACTATTAACGAGATTATGATAGCAGATTGACATATTATACATGTTTGCATATTTAATTTTGTTTTATTCAACACCTGCTGGCGAAGACAAACCCGTCCTTCCATCCTGTTCAACAAGAAATCTCTGCAATTGTACTTTTAACTCAGATCAAAAAACTTTTTCATACACTGAAAATAAAAACAGCTAAAGATAATTTACCTCATGCATTTGATTGACATGTTTTTGATCTTCCTTAATAGGTAAAACAATGACACATGAGAAGGTAGAATATTTTTGAATACAATCTACAATCGACAATCTATCCCATCCTGCTGATTGGCGCATCAGATCAGAAAGTCACTGAACAACCCTTGTATTTAGTTGTCTAGTTTGGAGGACTTGTTGGATGGCAAGCATATTATAGGTTTACTAAAAATGATTACCCTTGCTTGTGTCCAAACCACGGTGAACAGATATTTAATCACCAAATTTGATGGTTATGATGAAGTACATTCTGCCCCTGAACTGCCTCTGCTTCTGTAGAGATAGGAATTGTGAACTTGTTCCAAATTGTTCAATCCATCAGAAATGTATGCCTCCAAGCTTATCAAGTTATTTCAACAGTTGCATTTATGCTGAAAACCTGTGTAGGCCTACTTGTTTTCCCACACAGAAAAATGATCAGGGATCAATACAATAATCAACAAAGTATTAGACCAATAAGCAGAACTGATAATGGTATTGGTATCAATGAAATCTTATCAATTCCCATCCCAATGCCACTGTGTATCTTATTTTTTGGGGCCGTTTTGCTTTGTAAGAGAAAAATTAATCTTCCATTATTAATGTACAGCAAGAAATTTAACCCCAAGTTTGCACATTAGTTAATATTTTAGAGCAGTCTGCAGGTAGCCCTACAATTCTCCTGCAGTGACTAATGAAACATGGGTTGTTTCTTTGTAAGTGGAAGCAGGCCTGCTCCTTGCTCTCTTTAAGACATTACACAGTATATTATCTGCAGCTCCAGCCATTAGCCTAAAGGTACTTCATTTCCACCGCAACATTACGGGAGTGATTTCCAAAGTAGATAAACTGTTGATAGGCCAAGATCTCAACAGTAATTACATCATGTTTTATAGTACATAATCCCCGAGAAAATGATGAGAAGCTGGATGAAAGTGTGCATCAATCAAATGTAACAAACCCAATTATTGTCAGCCCTCCGTTCTTTTCCTCACTGCTCACAGCCATCACACATCTCCCCATGACTCAATCCTGATATGGCAATTACAGCCGCAGAGAGTCTTCGCTAATAACTGCAATCCAATCACTTCACAGCACGCGCGGAAGGAAAGAAGGCCCGCGATAAATAATGACAACCCGCAATTTACTTGATATTGTTATTTTTACGCTTGCCTTCTCAATAACAGAATCATATATGGCTTTAATTTGGCTTGCTGCAACAAGTTTCCCTCCACTGTCATGGCTCTCATAGTCTGTTCCTACTGTATGTAGGAGTATAGGCGTGTTCACACGCAACCACAGGAGGCATGGTAGGTACATGACATAAAAATAACAGCTCCAGTTCCTCCAATTGGTGATAATATTTTTTTGTTAAAGTTAAAAAAATAAAATAAAATGAATATCTTTTTGTTAATAATGTTTGCATCTAGCTTGGGAACCAGACTTATCTACCAAGTTTCATTTTCTCAGGCAGATGTGTCTGGCCACCCTTGCATTCAAGCTAAATTCCATCCATGCTGCGTCTGGTCGGCCAATCACAACCATTTCTTTAATATGGGGCAGGTTTTATACGACCATTGACAGAGGAGCATCACCAGTCCAGATTGCTGAGGTGTGACATTAATGACACAATTCATTGCTCTGATTGGTTGTTCCGTCCAGTCTGCAGGTCCGTCCAGTGTAACGAATCAGGCTCACAAAACTCAGATCAAACTGTCGAACTAGGCAGTGCTGATCAAGGCCCTGTTTCCATGTCAACAGTTTTGCATTTTAAAATGTTTCCGTGTTCATGTGAACACGTTGTGAAAGCATCCTTGTGCACACGGATCCGCAAAAATTATTGAAAATTTTGTAGTACCAGGCAAGACCAGAAGAACATCACATGCCTGCGTAGAAAAACTTTCCTCTACAGCAAGGAGAGTATACACAGGAAGAGATGGTGGTGAATACATGCTTGAAAACAGATAATTTTGTCTGGAGGGACGTTAAAGTGGGGTTATTACTCAGAGTGACCATGTACTATAAGGCATCACATTTTAAGAAAACACTGATTGGAAATCATGCCAGTCAGAATTTCGTAATAGTCATGCACGAAGTAGAGCCATGTTGTCACAATTTTCAAAGCAAATGTGCCAGTTTATGTGGCGATGGTAAGAGTGGTGTTTCCAAAAGATTGCACTCTGGAACCTAGTTTGGTCTGTTTCCATGCCCCCAGCATGGCATTGTCATGTGAATGAAAGGCCAAACTGCAACAAAAGTTTACCGTGCAAAAACTGTTGTTATGTAAACAGGGCCCAATTATGAATCAAGACTCTTTTACTGCATTGCCTGTTTCTTGCCTCAAATCTTTTGAAGGAATCGTTCAACATTTATTCACTTTCTTGTTGAGAGTTAGATGAGAAGATTAATAACATTCTCATATCTGTGTGTTACGCAAGTACGGAGTTGGAGCTCGGAGTGGATTAGCTTAGTTTAGCGTAAAGACTGGTTGCTGCAGGAGACAGCTGGCCAGCTAGCTACTAAAGCCAAATGGATTAGTATTCATACAACATTTGTATGATGCTTAATATCACTGGGAAAAGAAAAAAAAAATTGTAGATCAGAAAGAATTTAAATTTGCTGCCTCTTCTCAAAGTTGGGTTTGAATTTCTTGGTTTTATGGCACACTGGCAAGAGAGACAATAATACAATATGCCTGATACATCGGTTGATAGGAGGCAGAGCCGTAAACCATGAAATCTTATTGGACAATCAATCAGTCAATTTTCCCTGCCTGAAACTGCTCCCACCAAATTGGAGTCCTCCAAAGTGGTGAAGTCAACTGGCTATTTGAGAGTGCTGTGCTTTGGGGTACTCTACTTCAATTGAGTCTGAGAGCAGCATCCCCAGAAAGTGCTCTAAACAGAAAGGGCAGCTCAGGCAAAGCACTGAAGGATTTTTCAAGAGGAAAAGCTTAAAAATAATGACATCTTTGGAGGGAGTCTGTTATGGCTGAGAGCTGTTCTAGCCTTCTATAATTGGTCCCACATAAAGCACCATTACAATTTGATTTGGCTATAAACAGACATTTAAAGCTGCAATATTTAATTTGCACAATGTCAGCCCAAAATGGCAGCAAGAGGTAACTGTTTGAATTTAGCAGACTGTTAGATAACATTAGTGAACTGCAGAGAGCAGGTTTATGTTTTGCTAAATGGGTCAGATCCTGATACATATCTGACTCAGTTGATGTGGATGGTGAGATAAGCATCCCATTAGTTTCTCCCATTGTGTTTCCTTCTACAGGCCCTAACACTGTCTTAGGTGGGTAACTATACTGAGTAAAACACACCCAGTTGAGTTGCTGCAAGTTAACAATAACACTTGTGCATTGATTTAATACTGTTCATCTCCCATGTCTTGTCTCCATGGTGCTCAAACAAGCACCTTTTGTTTAGAAGTCTGGAAAGACTAATTTTTGTCTAGGTCCTGTAGTCTGCTACATCATTCCTCTAGCCTTAATGCTTTACCTCGATTAATCTGGTACAAAGACATAGGGCAACTTTTGACCCTAACCCCGACTCACTGTTTTTCTCTTTGCACTGTGTACTACTTTGCATTTAGAAATCACCAAACAATTGAAGAGTGCAACACCAACCTATCGTCTGGGGAATTTAAAATGCAAAGTAGTTGCTTGAACGGTTGCGAGAATGGTTGCTTAAAAAAAGTACTCCCCTTACTTCAAGGACACGCCTTATTTGAAACAGTGCTCTTCCCTCATTCTCCTTCATAGTGGAATAAACTGGAGATGTTGTGAATCTCTTTGTAACACAGAGAGAGATTTTTAGAACATCGAAAATGAATGTCCCGAATAACGTTATATAGAACTTGACTTCCGTGTGTCACCACCCTGAAGACTTTGGATTGGTTCTGCAATGCAGGTTTTTTTTTACTCTCTAATTGTTTCCACCTAGTTCTAGCAACAAAACTAGGAGAAAGTCATCCATCTCTATTAAGCAAAGTGTTTAGAAACTGGCTTGGGAGTCTACCTTTAGGTATCCACAAGATAGAGCAGACTACAGAACATGTGACAGAAGTTAGATACTTAAGTTCACAGAATGATGCTAACATAATACAACATGCAACTAAAACGTAAAAGCTGCTTGATAGCTGAAAGAAAAATGTGAAACAATTGTAAACAGTGGTGCAATTTTTAAACAGAAAACAAAAAATAGAATCATTGAAAAAATAATGAAAGTACCAGTATGGTGGAGACTATCAGGGATCGATTGGATAAAGAATCAGAGACATTAGTCGTCTTCCCCTTCTGGTTGTCTGTCATGTTCAGGCCACTTGGAGGGTCCCAGGTACCAATCTGTAAGATAAAATACACGTATACATACTCAGATAGATCCATGTAAAGCACAATTATACGGGCAAATAATGTCAATAATCACAGGTGCACATAGAAATGGCATGACCACTATTTGGTTAAATTATTCCTCACTTTGTTGATTTTAAAACTAATACTTGGCTACTTTGTTTTTGGCAGAAAATCGGAAATTTCTACAATTTCTTAAAAGCAATGATAATGCTTCCACCTAGAAACAACCAATTTTATGAAGTTTTAAGTTACGTTACATGTATCACATAGTTATTTTACTACAACCTTCTTCTATTGAGGTCATACTCAATACTCACAAGACCATCCACTACTCACACCCCTACACTCTTAACCTAAATTTTAAGGTGGAAATCTTTCTTTTTAAATTGTTAATACTAACAAACACATGGGTAGACATGTACAGCAGACATATACTGTACTCAGCTTCCCTGTGTTTCTTTTCTTGATACATACAGAGAAAAATGTGCAGCGCCCCGCAGACACAGTTGACAGCTGTGTGAACCCTCAACACTGTCAGGGGGCACTTTCTTCTAGAGTCCCGCAGGGAATAATGTTATAGATGAACAAGGATCTGGCTGGCCTTATGGCCTTGTGGAGGGTCGATGGAGGACAATGATGGGGGGGGAATGCTAGGGAAGGAAGGAGAAAGACGAGGACGGTGGAACTATCATATCGTGCCTCAAGGCTTCTCTTGATGTCTCTCACCTCTCCCTCAAGTCTCCACGCCCATGCCTCTCAGTCAGCACCCCCTTCCCACACCCCATGCACTGCCACCGCCCTGAGCATTACTAGAAGGGACCACAAACACTCCAACCCACACCAGCCTCCTCAGGGCTCCTCAGATGCCCCGTGCGAGGGCCAGAGATAGGCTTTGTAATTGCAAATCAACTCTTTAATTCAGGCTTCATGAGGCTTGAGGGCTTCTGAAGGGGTTTTTATTAATAGAGTAAATTATTCATGGAGGTGCAGGCACACACAGCACACAGTCCAGAGGTCAGATGCTGCTGAGAGATGAGCACCGGGAGGATGCTGAAGTGAGAAGTGTTTGCAGTTGCATTCAAGAATAATATTTGTATCGGCGGTGTTAGCTGGTCCTCTTCCCGTTGATGATCTCATGAATCTTAAATTGACTGCTTAACTCCGGAGAGATGCCATTCCTAGGAAAAGATGTGAACCATAGTTGCACCTATTCATGGGAAGACACAAACACGCATATGCCATGACATGTCATGGTGCATTCTAACTGACATTAAAGGTAGGGTTAGGAATTGTTGGAATGTCAAACTAATCAAATGGATATCTCTTAAAGCTTCAGTCCATTATGTTTCTATGCTGAGCTGCAGAAGAAAATTAAGTACTTAAGTAAAATGGGGTCCACACACGTCTGAACTACTCTATCCATGTATTTATGTTCACATTGAGAGCTCAGACACATTTTTGACCTTGTTGGATCCCTCAAAGTAAATTGATGGAATGCAAGTCCATGTTCAGACTGACATTAGCACTGAGTAAAAAAATTAATAATTTTAATTAGAACCCAGCTCTGACATGACACAAACGGCAGCAAATAGTTAAAACCTTTTTTAACATTACATTGTAAAGCAGAATTATATTAGATGGTGATTGTTGGGACAGTGGAAAGAAACCAAGGTGAGGTTTGTTTTGTTTGGATGAAGGTAAAATCACTGTTTTTGTTAATGGAGTCTGGTGGTTTTTAACACAGCAATATAACTGCTGTTTCTGGTTAGACGAAAGGGAGCTTACTCTGCAGAGATCCTTTCCATAATATTGTCAGTTAACCTTTAACAGACAAGGTGTTTTTACAATCAAATCTCTCCTCGCGCAGTCAGTGATGGCATGCCCATTGGGAACAACTTCATTGTCTTACGCAAGGACGCTTTGATATGTAGACAGGAAGAGCTAGGGTTCAAACCGCCAACCCTGTGATTGGTTGATGACCTGCTCTACCTCCATTGCCACAGAAACAAAATAACTTTCCAGAGTTTTAAAACCTTGATAGTTTAAAAATGTTATAAGAGTTACTCATACTCATTGATATATTAGTCTTACCAATCTTCCTAAATCATTTCATCTCTTCACCACTGCAGCCTCTTACATTTGTTTGTGCTGTTTTTGCTCTAAATACCCTCTTATTGAATGTCCACTTTCTTTGTGAACATCATGTAAAATCAAAAAACACCTTCGATGTCTCCTTATTATGCACAGACAGGAGCAGAAATGAGAGGGTTCTGAGTAAAATAAGAGAAACAGCTTGAGTTCCTGGCAAGCCTTGAAAGCAGTTTGGTTTGTCACATAAACACACAGAGTCGGATTGCACTGTTAGCTAGCTGGATCTAATGTCTGTACTGTTAGCTGTCGCTTGCCATTTTTGTTCAATTACTTTGGACTGCAAAAGCAGCCATTACAGTGTCTCAACTTGTCTTGTAAGGCAAGTTAGATCTCTTGAGACAATCTGCTTAGCTATATAGAGATTCCAGATTCTGAAGGCTCCACTCTGACAGGATAATGACAATGTCCAGATTAATGATAATATCCAAATTATGTGGGGGTTTTCAGTTTATATGGAAAATAGTGTCCATTTTGCTTTTATATACTGTACTTGTTCTCTCTACATGGATTGGAAGCTGCCACTACAGGTTTACAAACATTTGTTGGTGTTCCATGGCTGCAATGAGTTCCATAGCTGCAATATGCTGGCTGCACTATGCTGTGAGGACTCTCTTTCTGGTAGCAACGTCTCTTTTCAGAGCTCCATAACAGCCAAAATGTTTTTGTTTGTTGTATTTTTTCTTTAATAATTTTTTATGTTAATCCAAACCCCTTTTATGATAAAACAAAAGCTACTGGACACTGTAGAACACATTACGCTGACAACTAAAGCCTGGTTAAACAAGAGTTAGATGCAGATACTACAAAAGTTATTGACCATTTTATGCTACTAACTTTTATTTTATTATATCATCTTTCAAATTTGAATTCTGATGGCAGAAAAAATTGTGAATCACTGTGTATTTGTGCTCTGGCCGGTTTCTCTCAGTGTCTGTAGATTGAAGTTCGGTGTGCATTGCTTTCATTGGTGACCACCAACATAAAAAAATTCTACTCTTTTCTGTTCTGTTATTCTACACTGCTGTTGTTCAACAGGATATAGTTCCACTATGAAAGATTTACATTTATCTTTGTTGTACAGACCAAATAAAAGCAATAAGGCATGCTAATTTGTAAGCTTTAGAGGTGGTGGTACAAGTTGTTATTTTTTTTAACTTTGGACAGCTTAGACTGTTTTCTCCTGCTTCTAGTCTGTAACCTCTAACATTAACAGATGTTCTGTTACAGAGAACTGTCTGGGAAGCCGTCAGTGGAAACTGTTTGGAAAAGGGCAGGCGGGCAGGTGAACTTCAACCAATCAGATCAAGGAGCAGGCAAACTCTTACTGAAGCTGAAGTAAGGAGAAGAGTGAAAACACATCTTTTCCATCTATGCTAACCTCTCAAGAAGCCCCCATTGTTGACACGCCTGTCACTCATGCTGTAGTTGCAGGTATTTCCTCATAGGACGGACTGGTTCGAACTACTGTCATTTGGACACAAGCACATAGCTTCAAACCTGGAAAGATGGATTCTTGTGTGATCTTGTTTTCTCGCTGCATAGCAAGGTTAAGTCTTCCTTCCATGGTTGGCAAACCGTTTCTGACTCCGGCTTTGTACTACACACAAACATGAGCTTGATATTGAATTTCTTGGAAAGAAAGCTAAATATTCCTCTCAGATGAGTCACTGGTAAAATTATCAATTCTTTGTAAAACATATCCACTGTTACCTGGACTGCAGATACAATGCATTCACACCTACATGTCATTCTGTGTTCTTTTATTAATTCACTGCTTCATTTACATCTTGATATGATGTGTTTTGTACCAGGTGTCATACCAACCTTCTCAAGCCCCTCCTCCTTTAGACTGATGACATCAAGGTCGAAGTCAGTCCTCAGGCCGTTGGTCCGGTTGAAAGTGATTCTCCCGGTCAGGCCATCCCAGTGGGCCTAGAGAGAGAGAGAGAGAGAGAGAGAGAGAGAGAGAGAGAGAGAGAGAGACACAACAGAGAAGACATTCAACCATAAGCATCACGTCTACTCCACTTTCAAACATGTTTTTGATTACAGTGTTTGAGGGGAAAGCAGCAAAAGAGTGACAACACACACACTCTTTCTATTTCTCCCACTTGCACACAGTTTCTGTTTGTACAGTCTTTCCTGGCATCAAGGTGCCTACACAGACTCTGAGGCTGCATTTGTAACAGTGGGAAGGCAATTACCCAATCTTTACAGATATTTAGGGGTGTGATAGGATACAATGTAGCATGAAAGTGGCTCAGAGCAGGAGAGGCTTTTTCTACAGCAAATCATCACAGTACTACTCCGACTGAAAGCCAGGGACTTTAGGGCCTATCTTTAGTTCGATGAGTGGGAGTCACAGATCTAGAAGTTACTCACTCAGTACAGTCGACTGAGCTAGAAAGCATTTGTCATACTACTTTGACTGTCTGAATACCTCTCCATTGATACTGTGTGCTGTTCATAGAAACAAGGATAGGTTACTCCAGTGGGGAATATCATGAATTACTATAACCATGGACAACACATTCTCACTGCCACCTCTTCAAATTCTAAATATGACGTAGTAGGTATCCTTCTTGCGTCACTTCTGGATGCACAGGGCTCAGCTTTTGAGTTAGCAAAAATAAAGATGCAATGTGCGCAACATCCGGTCGAGTTAGCAATCAGAAATGACGCTAGAGGGATACCTACTGCGTCAGATTTATTTATTTTATTTATTTATTTTTAAGTATTTTTTGGGGCTTTTATTGCCTTTATTATAGTGACAGCTGAAGACAGACAGGAAAGGGGGGCAGAGAGCGGGGATGACACGCAGCAAAGGGCCACAGGTCGGATTTGGACCCTGGGCCGCTGCAGCAAGGACTCAGCCTCAGTACACAGGTCGCCAGCTCTACCCACTGAGCTAACCAGGCACCCATATTTTGAAGCACTGCAGTATTTGTCAACTTTGACTGTTTGATGGAAGGGGGTAGGTATATATATATATGTTAACTGTTTAAGTAAGCTAACAATTTTGCGGATATATTTAAATCTCCACAAACAGCCTGTCATTTTGTCTGTCCAAGATATTTCACAACTGCTGGCCATTTTGCCTGGGAATCAGGTATAGATTTTGATGGTCCTCAGAGGATTCCTACAGATTTTGGTGTCTTAACCTTATGTCACAGCAATAACATGCATGTTAGGTAAAGATTTACAATTGTAAACTGAATATCAAAACCTCTTGGATGGAATTTTACTAAATGTGTTCATGTTCTACCGAGAGGGAACCCTTTCCATTTTTTGAACAGTCTATGATTTGCCCTGAGTCATAAATTAGCTGTTATTAACCTAGAGTTTCTTCCACCCCCTGTCCAATATGAACACCATGTTAATGTTAAAATACATTATCAGATTTTCTGTGTGGTCATTTCATTTCAATTTAGGAATAATCTGCACTACACTAAAATAAAGTCCTCAAATAACACTAGGATCTTCTTCAAGACAGGCCCTCATTGTTAGGCAGGACCCACCTCAAGGCCTTAGTTGATTTTGGGATCTAGTGGGGCATACTCTTAAACATATCTGAAATGAATCTGTAAAATAAAACATAATAAACCTGGACCTTTCAGGAGCCTACATTCCCAATGATTGCTTTTCCTGGTTGGTAATCCAGTCTAGACTGCCATCCTCAGAACACAATGTTTATCACAAACAAATGACAAGCCTTCACAGAATACAGCAGAGCCAGACTGCCATGACAGTTGTCAGCATATTCATCCTCCTCAGAGGCTGAACCACCTTAAGCTGTTAGTCTTGTTTTTAATCAAATTGATGTGCTTACTACTTGTGTTGTCAGTTCTGAAATTAAATGAAGTAATTAAATCACTGAAAGTTCAAGCAGACATGCCGGAGGACATCAGAGGGAAGACTAGAAAATATTTTCTACATAAAATATGATACAGTTTCACCAAAATCAGACTAAAGTTGTGTTTTTGTATAGTATCAGTAATCAGTAATTTTCCCAACCTAATTCTTGTCTTCTTGGGATTTAGGGGGAGGGCCTTAAGGAGACAAGGGCTATAATGGCTTGTTTCAGACAAGCCATTATAGCCCTTGTCTCTGTTCTGTTTTGAACTGAGAATCATGCAAAACTACTCCAGTGTCCCAGAATAAATATATAAAGCTGAAAAGGAGCACAATAGGTTCCCATTAATGAGTGGCTGAGTTGAGTGCTGTGAAGTAAAGTGCTGTGTTGTACCCAAAATTGCTAAAAAGAAAATATTTGTGTTTATCAGAAAAGGCTAATTTACAAAACGAAACATAACAGCTACTTTTGGACAAAACCAGTAAAATAGTCTGAACATCAAGTGGAAAATACTATTTTATCACAGGCACAGTCTGACCCTGACTTTAGAGGGGCTGACTTGAATACAGCAGGTCACAGTTCAATTCTCTGTGCTGCATTTTTGTTTTCTTTTGCCCCACAGCAAAGCACCCGAATGGTCAATACACACCAGCTCAGTGACCCTGTGGTTCAACTTCTAAAAAAATGGGAGGCTAGGGTTTTCAAGAAGGTTTTAGTCCAGACAAAGATAGAGGTGCTGAGGGTGTGAGCAAATACAAAGGACTGCACTTCGGCCCACAAAGTGGTTCTGAAACTGGGGTCATCTGACCTCAAGGGGTCCACCAAGGTGTTCAAAAGTGATCACAGTAAAACAAGAATATACTGCATTTGAATTATTTGTGTCCACTAAAAAGTATTCCTATTAATAGGGGAGCAAAAAAATATTGATACACTTGAGTATCACAATATTTTGTTTTGTGATTTTTTTTTTAATCAATTCTCAAAAATACTGTATAGATTTTTGTGTTTAAACCCCCAACAACTAAATAGCAGTGTTGTAAATGTAAACTGAAAGCTATGATGCTGAATGTTACAGGGACTGTGGTAATAGAATAATAGCCATCTTGCCTATAGTATTGCAGTATACTGAATCATAACCCCCTGTGCACTTTTCAGTATAGTTTATTGGGAACACCCTATAAGGATACCCTTCCTACACTGTAGCTTTTTGCCAGCACCATCATATACAGAATATACATGCAATCCGTTTTTTGTTTTTTGTTATCAACTTTTTTATTGTTATTCAACATGAGTGTTAAACAACATACACAAACAAATACAAATACCCAACGGTTAACTCCCACCCCCCACCCCTTGCAGCAACCCAATCCACATTGTAATTGGCCTTAACAGAACAAGATAGAGAAAGAAAAGATTTAAAAGGGAAAGGTTAAAAAAATAAAAATAATTGGCAACAAATACATTTATACATTATTCACTGAATATGCAGTGCAATCACAATCACTTGTGCAGACCATCATTTTGGATTGGACCATGTATTAGCCAAAGACTATTCTGCACTGTGGCCACTGAGCTAAACAGCGTTGTCCTCTAAATGTGTGAAAAGGCTTAAGGAGCTTCAAGTGAGAGGACAAAAAACAAAAGTGGTAGGGGATAAGATAGAAAGAAGGTTGGGTCAGGGAATATAAATTGAGATTCTTAGGGTGAAAAACTGTGAGCTTAATATGAATGCTACATTTTTGTGGTTTCCCACTACACAGTTTCATTTCTTTGCAGTCTTCTCATGATCTCTGCAAACTAAAGAGGAACACAGAACCCCAAATATAGGTTGCCTAATCCCCGGCCTTTCCACGTACAGAAAGCTCTGGATTAACTGTCCCTGCTTCACAAACTGTGGGGCAATTACCAAAAATGTAGATAATGTTGTGTTTTTGTCTCTGCATGGGTGATTAATGCTGAAATACAGACAGCAGGCTCAAGATGGCCGCCCTCCTCGGGGGAGGGAGTATGTACAGTATGTACACACACTAAAAAAAAGAATTCCATATAAATAAATACAAAGCTAAATCACTTCTATTTATTCATATCCCCTTCTTCTTGCCTCAGCCTTATTTACATTCTGTCTCTGTGTGCTTTCCTGAGAGCACATGTGTTCTGTGTGAAGGTGCTGTGTATGTTGAAGAGGAAGACAGAATGGGAAGCAAGCATCTACCTCTTTGATGAGGGCCATGAAGCGGTTCCCGAAGCGCCAGGGCTTGTGTCGGTTGCACTGTAATGAGCTGACAGTGATCTGCTGAGACTGCTGCACAGCCACGGCCACCACGTGCACGGCATCGTACATCAGCGCGGCGTCCGTCTGCAAACCGAGATGGGGGGGGGGCGGAAGAAACAGCGTCATTAACATGGAAAACAGCACACAACAAATCAGTGTGTCCCGGCAGCATGGATCTGAATCAGAGAAATATCAATATCATGATTGCTAAAGCCCCACATCAAAACTGCATCTTTCCATGCTTTGGACACAATGGCCATGAATATATTGTGATTTTACTATTGACATATTATGCACCGATAAGAGACTTTTTTGAAAATGGCTTGCAGCAGGAACATATTCACAGGGGAAGAAAATATATAGTATAGGAACAAATCTAGAATATAAAATAAGCATAAATAAAACACTTAGTTGCAGGTTTACATAAACACACCAATGACAATATCAGTCCATATTTATAAGGATTCCATGACTGGGAAGTGCAGGAAAGAGTGTGGATTAGAGAGTGAAATAGATTTACAATATGTTAATGCAGATAGAGTCTGGAAAAGGAAAGTGAGAAAAGGAGCTCATATATGCATGCTATATATAGAATAAATTTGGGTTGCACATGAAATTGCATTTGCCAAAACCTAAAAATATTAGATTTTACGCATTTTTCCTGTCAAAAAATTTAAAGTGAAGTTTGAAATGTGTCAGAACGGTGCATTCATCTGCAGTAAGGGTGCAGATTTTTGTGATACAGCAATGTGAGATACAGGAATAGGTTAAGGAAACATGAATAAATACAGATAAAATGAAAGACTCAAACAAGCACTATGCCAATATAAATAGAGAATAGAGTATATAAATAATAATACTAATTATATCTGTGCAAATATTTGAACAGATATAATTAGTATGACAAAGAATAACGCTTAAAAAATCAACGATGAATGACTTAATTGGATATAAATGGAGTATCTTTTTAAAGGAAATTCCTCTGAAAAGGAACATATATAATTATTTGATGCTAAATTTATAGTTATTTCCAAGAAACATAGAAACAATATGTTTAGAAATAATAGAACCCTAAAATAAAGCATTGCCAAACACTTCTGCTAATAACAATGTGATATACAAGGTCGTAATGTTTCAGTGTACAAATTTAATTCTGCTTAGTCTATGGTTATTGTAGTCCATGTGTAATATCCACTTTAGAATCCAGACAGGATTGGAGCAGAAGAGAAGGGGGGTGAGTGTGAGCTATAGCTACATTGTTAATGGTGTTTATTTCCTTAATTTTGAACCACAGTCAGTTATTACTTTTAGGTTCCTTAATGACAAGAGCACACACTCCATATGCTAATATTCTTCCAGCCATTTGTAAACTTTCAAAGTATTTTTGGAGTCCTAGTCAGGAGTATTCAGCAAACCTAACAACATGAGATAAAATGCATTACAATGTCTAGCTGCAGCTCTAATTCACAGAACAAAGGGCGGCAGCTAACTCTTTCTGCCTTTCAGAATCACTGAATGCATGTAAAAATATGTACAGTAAAATGTGTGTGCAGTACAGTGGGTGCAGTTGTAAGGTGTCTTTTTTCAATATATTTTGCATTCTCCTGATCCTGTTGGTGTGGTCCAGTTACAATACAGTCAGTTTAGGGAAATGCCAGAAACTACAGAAAGCAGAGACGATGTGACACTTTACATGATCCATTTATGTCTCATTCGGACTGTATACAGACACCGTGAGCAATGTGGATATTGTTATTGCTTAGGCTGCGGCTGCATTAGTGATTGAATCTATGATACTATGGATATGGATACAGTAGCTGTACAGCAGGGGCATTTCCAGACTTTTTTGACTGTGGTAGAACAGGTGGAGCACTGACTTATGCAGTGGTGGCATGGAGTAGTGTCTCAGCTTTCCAGTCATTCCCAATTTATGCAATTCCAATTCAAAGTTTTGCCCCCAAACTGCATGGGATTAGCATAAAATGAGCATGTCTGCAAAGGGGAGAGTACCCGTAGAATCCATTTCTATTCAGATATCTTTAGGTCAGAGGGGATCTCTTTGAAGATGGCCATGCCAGTTTTTCCATCACTACAACTTTGGAGCATTATGTAGCCCTCTTCCCAACATGCTAGCATGAGATGGTTGGTACCGATAGAAGGGGTGGGTCATCTAGTTTTTAGCTTTAAAACAGAGCCCACTACAGCCTCTGATCATCAGTGCCACCCCATGCCTACCCTCTGGAACGCCCTTGCTGTATGTGTACTGTGATGTGTTACCAAAACACCACAGGAGCATTAAGCCAGCACAACCATGTTAATTCCCTGCATGTAGTAAGTGTTCCACCCATTATAAACTAATAATCTTGATAACCAAAACAGCCATGGCTACAACATTATAATCACAGCGACAGCTCTGTCTCAATCAGCCTTGACAGCAGTCAGTGTGATTGATAGGGACAGATACAGTAAACACAGACAGACTAAAAACAACCAGTATCAGTGTTTTATGAAAATAAAAGGTTCAGCCACACTGAAAAAAGTGTAACATGCAGTTGTTCATTCAAACTAATAACTGCCATTTAAAACAGGATACAATTATTGATTTGATTGTGAATCTCATTCTTTTTGCATTTAGAGACATCAAGTTTGATTTATACTGAACTAAATATACGTCCAAAGGACCCAAAACTAAGTTTTTGATTTCTCTCAATTTTCCTTCAGGACCTGCAGGTAATATTTTTAGTTTGAGTTGAATGTGAATGCACATTGCACACTGCACAGTCCGAGCACATGTTCAGTCCCGTAGCTCTCTCTCGGCATGCTGGTCATTTGACATCGTGGATATCGTTTACCTCCTGGGTGGATTTCGTCCAAAAATAAACGTAAGTAGCAAAGCAGTTGCTGATAATTAAAGTTTTAGTGTTTTGTGTTGTCAAAAATAAAAAGAGTAACCCAATTTAAGTACTTCAATGGGGCGATAGCTGGCATGATTGTAGCTGGCAGTAGCTGGGTAGCTAGCTAGCATTTACCGGTAACGTTATGACCATGAATAATAAAACATTTATTTGTGTCGCGCTTTTACAAGTAAGGGTAACGTAAGCTAGACAAAAGCCATCGCTAGTCCAACTGGGCTACATTCAGGATAAACAGATATTGTGCCTGGAGATGTGTTCACTGCAGTTTGTAGACAGAACATTCAGACTGGGCCCGTCCTCTCGGCCTCTACTGTGTAACCTCCTGTAGACAGCAACCGTTGTCAGGACCGGAAAGGAAATACAGTCCGAGTGAAGCGCTGGAGACGTGGGCCGATAACAACGGGACCCTCTTGGTTCTGTATTATGTGGTCTTCAGAGAGCAGTAATTGTTTATTTTATTTTATTTTATGTTGTATGCTTTCAGAACCACAAGGCCGCTCTCTTCAGTTCCCTGGCTGTAGCCTATATCTTCATCCAACCTGAACAGGAAACATATTGCATCTACACTGCACATCGCCTTTTTAACCCTTTCACAAATCACCCTGAATATTAGACCCTCACTCATCTATACATTCTCATAGCAGCAAATGGACTACTGTATTTTTTTAGCTCTGTTGATTGAGCCAACACAGATCGGTGTATCACCTGTAAGGGAATTCTATTCTATTCTATTTCTTCCTTTGTTTTCTCAGTTATCGGATGTGGAAATGCAAAGACTGCAGCCTGTCATTTTCAGAACGATCTGAGCTACTAAAACAAAAAAAGGCCGATTGCTCATTGGTTCATATGTTAAAGATTAGTAAATACATTTAACATAATCTGTTGGCCAAGTGTCTTTTTTTATAGAGTTTATAAGGTGGGAAACACAAATTATTTTTGAAGTTAAGTCAAATAAAATGTGAAAAATATAGTTTGGATATATGTAAATTAATTAACTGGTGTCAATGCAAACATTAATTCATGTTAATTCAGTTAAAAGTGAATACATCAGGTTGGTTCACTTTCTATTTATTAGTTTGGTTCAATAACTAAAATGTTAAGAAAATAATTTGGATCAAGGCAAAGAATTAAGGTTGAGTCAAGTGCATTATTATTGTTTACATCAACATAAAATAATCAGGTCATAAGAAGTTACTCAATTTAGATTATGTGAAGTCAAATATTTTAGATGTGATATCTGGACATCATTTTTTTTAGTTTGAGCAAGGTTATACTTTTTTCAGTGCAGTAAGGTAAAAAAGAGGGAAATGGAATACAAAAAGATACATAAAACACACATTTAAAGATATTACATTTAAAAACTATAAAGAAGAGGTGTGCATGAGAAGCCAGAGCTGGAGGGGGTGCGCACTCACAATGTGGTCAAACCAGAAAAGGCCTACTACATAATACATAATGCTATAGCATAATACAGCTTTAGGGATCAGAGGGAATGCAGAGCGTAAAGAAACGCAAAAGAATTTCAGAAAAAAATCCCACATTGACTCCGTACTATAACAATCACACCATTCTTGATAAATGAATGTCCGTAATGCTGATACACAAATGACAGGAGTGTCTTCAACCACAGAATTGGGTTGAGCTGGGTTGCAAGGATTGATGTGGACATCTTAAAGCACCTTCCGTAAATGATGGCATGATTGAGAACACTGGTAAGACCGGGAGCAGGAAGTGGAAATGAAGGCAACAAGGATTTTTCTCCGTATCAATTAAAATATGGCGTCAATAATAATCTTAATTAATACAGCAATAAGAGACTGTTTAAGCCAATTAAACTGGCAACAAATAAAAAGGATGTCAAAGTCAATATCTGCAGACTCCTATACCCAGTCTGACTGTGTGCTGCAATAATTTACTATTTCTGTCAATATACAAAATATATATATACTGTTAATATAATATAGTCTTGACAGCAAACAGTGGGCCCAAAGAGAGGAGTGCCGGCGAAGCTATCAGAGGAGTGCCAGTCATCCACGCTTCATGAAAGAAGCCTATAATTCTGCAGTTCCTCAAAAAAAAAAAAAAATCTAATTAGTGTTTGTCTCGCTTGATTGAAAAGCAATCAAAACAGCTCTCCACAGTTGTTGCATGGAAATCGTGCCCTAAGGT